AAAAAAAAAAAAAAAGAAAAACAAATTAATTAGACTCTACGAATATATTAAAATAATCGAATAAATAATAAATTTCACGAAACATATATAATATATAAAAATGATAAATTATCTTAGTCCGAATATATTTTACCGAGCTTTAGTACCGTTATTTCGTTGAATAATTTTTAATATACGATTAATGTAAATTATCCAAACAAATTACATAACGTGCTTTTATTGATTTTACGAGAATCGAACCATAAAACGATTACTTCATAAACAATAGAAATCATAAAAATTATACGAAACCGTAAAAAAAAAAGAAAAAAAAAAAGGTCATATCGTATAGATATCAGAAAATATTTTACGAATTAACGAGAATCATTGTACATAGATAAATACGAATAATTAATAATACCTAAAAGTTGAATTCCAACCGATAACAAATAACGTTTACCTGATATATAATCTATGGAAATTGGTAGTTTACAAGGTACAAAAGACACAAACCAATATGAGATAAATCGTAGGTACATATATACCGTAAACGATAGTATGCGTCACCTGCGAGTAACACTTGGATCGATAGTCGAACTTGGTCAATGGTCGATTAGAAACTATACACATATGTGCATATATATATATATATACATATATACATATATATATGTGTATACATGTTTCACATACACCTAAATAGTTCGAAAAATCGTCTAGAATTTTCTATGATAGAATGAAACTTGATCCAAGTAGAGAATTTTGTTCCGTAAATTCAAGATTTCGCATCATTTTGTTTATTTGCGACTTGTCGTAAGTTCATCTTAGTGCTACCGTTATCGTTATCATTATCGTTATCATTATCGTTATCATCGTCATCGTCGTCGTCATAGTCGTCATAGTTGTCGGTAGTAGTAGTCGAACAAACATTTTCCACGTTGTTCCATGTGAACTCGAGTGTTAGACGTTTTCATCGTAACGTCGAGGCGGTCTCGCGACTCTCGTTACCGCTAACAAAAGCGTTTCTCAGGGTTGAGTAAGAAAAAGATAGTGGAAGGAACAAGGAATAAGAGAACAAAAAAAATAATAAAAAAAGAAAAAAGAACGAGAGAGAGAGAGAGAGAGAGAGAGAGAGAAATGGCAAGAGGTAAAAGTAAAAACGCGACGATTCTAAGAGAAGATCATGCTCGACTACCTTTCGTCGGAAGGAACAAACGTTCGTAAGAAAAAAAGGGAAAGAAACATAAAAAGAAAAAGAGAAAAAAAGAAAGAAAGAGAGAGAGAGAGAGAGAGAAAGAAAGACATGAAGGGCTGGTAAGACAAGAAAGTAATTGTCAGATGTAGCAGAACGAGAAAACGAGAAGGAGAAAGAGAAAGAGAAAGAGAAAACGCTAAAAAGTTAAGAGAAAGCAGAAGAAAAATGAGAAAAGTAAGAAAGCATGAGCGATTGTGTGCCTGACCGAGGCAAACGTGCTGAACTACGGTACGAAACGTGCAAAACTCGAGAGGAAAATAGTCTTCGAGGAAAGAACTACCCCCGTGTATTACGTACTGTAACGAAAATAAAAGGAAACAAAAAAGAAAAAAAAAAAAAGAAAGAAATTCTACTGAGAGAATGAAGTAAAATGTAGAGTGAAAAATAAGAGAGAAGGAAGAAGAAAGAACTAACAATAAGATATGACGATGGGTGCATTACATGTGTGTGTGTGTGTACACGTTAGATTCGAATGAAAGTACAAGATTTACTACGTCATTCTATATAAGTATATACACGTAAAAAAAAAAAGAAAAGGAAGTAATCATGCTAGAGTTACGTTATAACAAAATCTCTCTCTCTCTCTCTCTCTCTC